CAAAGCTCCTCACCAACCTGTGTGGCTCAGCTGCGCATGTGGAGCCCTTAAGGGGCAGACTGGCTTCCCACCTGCGCAGCTCCAGGCTGTGTGCAGTCTGTATCTTTCTTCCCAGGTCAGAAGAAGCTTTTGGTACAGTTAGAAACAATGGACTTGTCTTTCACCCTAGCCTCCATTTAATTCAAAATAATTCCTGCTTCCATTGTCCTAAGAGAGGCAGACAACAAAATAACAAAAGCTGAGGTGATCTCTGATGCCCTAGGTAAGAGCACAAGCACCTTGGATCTCCTAGCCTGACCTTTGGTCATCTTTATCCTACTTCCACGTCATCACAGGCTCACAAATATGCACTGCGTCACATAAACATAATTAAGATCAGAGTGAATCCCTGGGATGCGCATGCGTGCTAAGAGCCCCTAAGATGGCTCAGCATCCTGTCAATCATTTCTGTCAATCCTAGACACTCTGTGGGAGGCACCTAAAGCAGAGGTGCCTGGCCTTGAAATTCTGAAGGCTTGAGTTATCGCCCCCCCTTTTTTCCTGTTGGGGTTGCAACCTTAGGTCTGTGTGCAGTGCTTTTCTGTCACCTGGCACCTTTCTGGGTCTGTGTTGTACTTTTGTTGGCACAGACTGGCCCTGAGCACAACTCTCTGTGACTCTCAATCAGTGTAGCTGCTCACAACTTACTACTGGACGTACTCTTGGCAATTGTCCCTTGTGTACAGGAGAACCTGGATCATTACTGGCCCATCCAACTGTAACACTCTGAATACCAGGTCACTTGAGTCGTTGTGAGGTAAGAGCCCTGCCGTCTGTGCAGCGGGGCTACAGCCCAGAGGCGGGGCAGGATGAGCACAGATGATGCAGTGGGCACTCGGTGGAGGCAGCTTGTCAGCGGGCCCCCCAGTGCTCTCACTCAGAGCACCTCTGAGCCCAGAGGAACTCAGGTCAGAGATGGGGGAGGCAGGGAAGGTCCTGGAGCAGGGCGGGTCCCCCAGCGGGAGTGTGGACGCAGCAGGACGACGGGCAGAGGGGCCACTCCAGATGAGGAAACAACAGGGATCCACAGGGAAGCCCACAAAACTCAAGAGCTGGGCTCTCTGCGGGAGAGCCCCGCGGGCTGCTTTCCCCCTCGGCTCAAAGGGCACGGACAGTGGGCTTCCCTCAGCTCCGCCGAGCTCCTTAACCTGACCACGGTCTCGCACGAGCTGGGTCCTATTCACAGTGGCCTAGAAACCGGGAAGTACCTGGCATGGGACCTTCCTCTTCCTTCACATGATTGCCTGGGACTCCAGGGGGACCAGCAACGGGGCTTTTTTATGGTCAGGAAATGTCTGTGGCAGCTATGGACACCACCGGACCTTCCTGGACCCTTCTGAGTGGAGGCTGCATTCCTGAAGATTCACAACTGCCAGCTCCAATCTGTTGCTTCCTCCTGGAAGGCGCATTTGGTATTGTGTGCGTGTGCACACGCTCACATGTGTGAAGATTCTCTCTCTCCGAGTCCACGGGATCCCTCAGATACAAACTGCTCTAAGTTCAAGGGAAGGAAATAGAGAAAGAAAGCAGCAGATACTAATTTGTGGTTTAGTTCAATGGTTTTCAAACTTAGCTGCACAGTAGGTTACCTAAGGAGCTTTAAAAAAAAAAAACAACACTCTTATCCAAAAATGTAACAGACACTTCCAAAGAGATGCTTTCAACGGCCAAAGAACATAGGAAAAGGCGCTCAAATGTGTCAGTCCCCGGGGAAATACAAGTTAAAACCACATACCTGTTAGAATGGCTAATGTGAAAAAAACCAAACACACAGAAAATACCAATTGTTGACAGGTGTGATACAGCCAGAACTATCACACATTGCTGGAGCAAATGTACATGGGTACAGCACTTAGGAAAATTATTTGGTATAAGGTACTAAAGCTGAACATATTCATAACCATACTTGCCTAGCTATTCCACTTTTAAGGCTGTACCCAAAAGAAATGTATAATATGCTCCTAATGGCACATACTAGAGTATTCACAGCAGTAGTAGTCATAACAGTTCCAAACTAGAAACAATTCAAACATTTATCAGTAGTAGAATGGATAAACTGAGGAAAATCCACACAGTAGAATAGTCTAAGGCAGTGGCGCATGTGCTGCAGGGGACTGTTTGCATCACTGAAAGCTTCGCCATTATTGCTCTATGGTGATGAGCGAACAAACTACAACAGGCATAAGCAACAACTTAGGTAAGTCACCTCACAATAGAATGTTGAGTGGAAGAAGCCAGAGAAAAAAGTACACGTACCATATAAGCCTATGTGCTGTCAAGTCTGAAACTAGGCGGAAGCAAGCAATACCATCAGAAGCCAACGTGGTCAGAGAGAGCTTTGGAACCCACAGTGACTGGAAGAGGATGCCAGCAGGGTGGTGATATTCTTTTCTTACTCCGGATCCCAGTTCCTTGGGTTACATTCCCTTTGTGAAAATGCACCGAGCTTTACACATATGACTTGTGCATTCTTAAAAAACTGATATGTATGTTAGCCTTTGATAAAAACTTTATTTTAAAAATTAGTTGAAGCCCACATCAACATAATCAGAATCTTTGGAGCGGGCGGGGGCGCGATTCAGGCACCGCTGTTTTTCAGTGTCCAAGATGACGGCATGTGCAGCCGGGAGTCCTGGAAAAGGAGAAGGTACTGGAAAAGCAGATCCATTCATAGGCCTCAAGACTGGTTGTGATAACAGCCAGCCGAGAGCAACAGGATGCCAGGGTCTTTGCCAGGGTACGGGCAGAGGTGGTGTTGTGGCAGGCCGTTGTAATGTTTCTTCCTCTGCAGACTCTGTTGCAAGGGGGTTGCATCAGCGTGTCAGTGTGTAATGGGAATGAGATGGGCTGCTCCTTGAGGAAGTAGATCACCCGCACCGCAGCACAGAGGTGGCAGCTGGGCTTCCTGGGGCTGCCACCCAGGCCAGAGACACTTCTGACGGCTGAGTGGGGTGGGGACGAGGTGTGACTCAGGGTGTCTGTGGGTTGCAGCCAGCTCCAGGCTCCAGATCATGTCCATGCTCCTTGGCCTCTGTGTCCAGATTAGGAATCTGCAACACCCTGCTGCGGACAGGCCAGGCTTGGCTCTGCGTGTGGCTGAGAACCTCCCTACTCCGTGAGCATGGTGGCACCTCTCTGGCGGTTGCCAATGTCAGCATACCTGGTCAAACTACAGGCGCCCTGGAGAGGGTAAAAGCAGGACACAGGCTCACAGGCGGCCGTCCTGCCCACTTGGGCCTCACCTGCCCTTCCAGAAACCCGGAGTACTGCTCCCTTGGGCAGCACATGCACAGAAGCAGACCCTGAGCTTGCTGCTGTGGCAGGGCTGTGCCGAGGTTGAGCCAGCAACCTCCAGCCCTCGGGGTCTCTGCCATGTATTGGGCGCGGGGCTCAGCTGCAGTTGTGTGCCTGCCTTGCGGTGTGGTGTCTTAGAGCCTGGCACAGCCTGTGCCCCTCTGGACAGGGACGTGGGGGACCTCAGTTGGCCTCACTTGGTTAAAGCACTCTGAGCAGTGGGTTGTGGCAGCCAAGCGAAGCTGGTGGAAGGTATACTCTAGGGTAGCTAGGTTTTTAAAAAGCCCTAGGGGTCGAAGAAGCGCGGCTGAGGCAGGAGGAGGGTCCAGGCATCTGAGGCCGTGGTGCTCCTCTCGGAATCTCCCTGCAGCCCGGTAGTGCTGAGGGTCCCCAGCCCCGCAGGAGTGGGCTGGAGGGAGTCCTGGCGCTGGGGGGCCTGCCTGAGCCGCACCTGGCTCGCGTGTCACCTCCTCGCTGCACCTCCCCTCCCGTCTGCGAATGCCACAATGACCAGCTCTTCCAGCCAGAGTGACACTACCCCTTCCTGTTGTCTTTTTAAAGAAGCATTTATGAAATGTTTCTTTTTCAAGCTTCAGGAAGTGAGTGGCCAGAAGAAGTTCTTGATTTTGCTTTGTTTTGTTTTCCCCAGAGATATGTGTGCTTTGAAGAGTTACGAGAATTAAGAGAAAATTGAGGGCTGACCAGTGCCAGGACAGAGAGGAGAAAAGAAACTCTAAGGCATGTCTGTGGAGTGGCACAGGCTGGACGTGCCAGTGGGTACAGGGGAGGTGGGGTGTGACATGTACACAAGGCCTAGCCCACCCTGGGCTCTAGTGTGACCTCATGCCAGTGGACACACAGGTACATGGCCCTCCTAGAGCAAAAGCATCAAAGGGCCAAACTTCCCAGATGTGGTGGCAACTCATAATCCTAGCACTCTTCCAGGCTGAGGCAGGAGAATTGCAGTTTAAACCCAGCTGGGTAACTTAGTGAGGACCTTGTCTGAAAACAAAGAAAATAATTACGGTTAGAATGTAGTTTATGCCAGGCATGGCTGTGTACACCTGTAGTCACAGCACTTGGGAGGCTGAGGCAGGAGGATTGTGTGAGAATGAGGCCAGCCTGAGCTATACAGCGAGATCCTGTTTAAAAAAAAAAAAAAGAATGTAGCTTAATGAGCAGGTCCTGGGTTCAATTCCCAGTACCACAAAAATAAATAAATAAATAAATACAAATCAAAATAAAGAAAACTGACTGAAGCCACATATGTAAGGCAGGTCCACCTGCAGTACTTCTCCTGGAGGTATGGGGGAAGCCCCCTGACACGGTCTGGGTGCTCCTCAAATAATGAACTTCATCTTGCAGACCTGGCAAGGCTCTGTGATCCAGGACAGTGCTGAAACCTTTTCTGACACTGTCGATGTTTCCTTGCCATATGACTTCAGGAAGTCACCATAAATTCTCTGTCCTGTTTTCCCTTTATTTACATACTTATTTTCCTTTTTAAAACACTCTAGTAAGCTGTGTATGGCAGCACACATGTGTAATCCCAGACACTGAGACAGGAGGATCACCACGAGTTCAAGGCCAGCCCGGGCTACATAGTGAGTTCAAGGCCAGCCTGAACTACACAGTGAGACCGTGTCTCTAAAAAAAAAAACCACTCTAGTAAAGTCATCAGTCCAGGGCCCTCTATCACCTGTATTACAGCTATGAGCTAGGATGCGAAGGACAACAAAAAAGCCCCTGTGTGGCCCAGTGCGGTCACAAAGCTCACACCCAGCGCGGTCACAAAGCTCACACCCAGGGCTCCTAGGAGGGTCTGGCTGGCCTCGCTAGAGAAGTTTGTTCTTCAGTTACATGCAAATCAGGAAAGGCTTCTAGTGGTCTGAGTCTCAGCAGGAAACAGATGCACACCCCTCAGGTAACAGAGGAGCGTTTGAGGAAGGGACTGTTTACAAGGGGTGGGCAGGACGGAGAGAAATCCATGCCCCCAGAGGCCAGCAGCAGTAGGGAGCCGCGACTATGACGCCCTGCTCAGAGAGGACGGAGAGGTATGGAACCCCGAGAGCGGGAGGAAAGGGCTCCTGGTGGAAGCTGTGGTTTGGGGGTGAAGAACACACACACTGTGGACCTGAAGTCCTCAAGGGAAGGAGCTGGAGTACTAAGCGCTCCGACATCGGTCTCCTCCACCCTGGAATCTTGGCAAGAATCTCCATTGGCCCGACCCAAGTGAAAGTGTGGGGACACAGAGGCGCTTGATGAGCTCCACCAAGGCCCAACCCTGGAAGGAGTGGGGAAGGGCAGAAAGCTGACGGGAACAGGACGGGGCAGGAGATGACCAACAGGGAATGCTGGGCCTGGTCCTCTGGCTCAGACATGCTGAAATAATGAGTTAGACACTAACCCGGTAGCATGTGCACCCTCGCCACAGGTTCACGGGATCATGGGATGAGAGGGAGCCAGAGCCAGAGACGGCCAGAAAAAAGAACTGTGAACAGTCAGTGATCAGGGTCCACAGCATAGAGAGATAGAGCTCTCCTTAGTTTAATCATTCCAAGGTAACCGTGTATGTTCCTAAAGATGGCCCTGACTTGTCAATGAGCGGTGCGCCTGCAGTGCTACTTAACACTGTACTGTAACAGGGCCGAAAGGAATGCAACACAAATTAGAGATGTATTCATCCAAAAGAGGTGCAAGACATGCAGGCTGTACACACGTCCCAGCCTCCTTGCTCGCCTGCAGCACCTCTACAATGCCCGTCAAGGTGTGGTGGCGCACGCCTGTAATCCCAGCACTCAGGAGGCTGAGGCAGGAGGATCATTGTGAGTTTGAGACCAGCCTGGCCTACAAAGTGAGCTCAAGGCCAGCCTGAGGTGCATAGTGAGACCCTGTCTCAAAAGACAACAAACAAACAAAAAAATAAAATGCCTGTCAAGAAATCAAATGGTATAAACCCTTAGAGAGGCAAAGAGCATGGGAGAGGAGACACGAGTGGCTGAGGAATCTGCACCAACTCCTGGCTGCTGGAGAGTAGGTGGAGGGACCATGGCTGATGTGGAGGAAGCCAGTCTCCTAGGGCACAGAGGGGCACACCGACGGAAGGCAGGATGCTGCACCCCAGCACCCCAGGGGGCTCAGACTGGGGAGACCAGGTATCGCGGATGGTGGGGTGAGGTACAGGAACCACAGGGGTTAAGGAACCGGGAAGACAGTTGGAATCCTTCCTGGCTCCCACTCCTCCACGCTGGCAGGAGGGCAGATGAAGGGAGGAGGAAGGTCGGGAGTGCTGACTGCACAGGACTCACTGTCCCACCCACTCGCCTCCCCTCGCACTGCCCTATTAAGTTTAGACCTGCCACCAATTCTCAGCTGTTCTCTCGCTGAGGTGTGGGCCAGTGTCCTCTTCCTTCATTCTGGTCAGTGTCATGTGGCGTCTTCCGTCTTGCTGGCCGGAGCACTCGCCCTGGAGATCGGCGCTGTCCCCTGTAAGGAGCCCAGTGGCCTGGCCACTGTGCTGTGCGGGCCATGTGTGGTCTCTCAGGTCAGCAACACAGCTGAGCCCCACCTCGTAGCGATCTTGGCCCCGTGAGAGTTTAAACCGGCTTGGGAATGAGTCCTTCGGCCCCAGCTGCTCCAGCTCCCAGCCACCACCCAGTCACCCCCAGACCTTCTGGGCGTTCTGGCCTAGCCCCACATACTGGGGAACAGAGAGGTGGGGAGCCCTTTCTGGGTCCCTGACCCGCCGCATAATAAAATGGTAGATGTTTTATGCTACAAAGTTTTGGGGGTGGATTGTTTTACAGGAAAAGATAACCTGAACAAGGAGACAGAATGTGTCTCTTAAGAGTCTGCATGGCTCTAGAGAGGTGCTAATTTCTTTTAGGGTGACTTCTGGGAATCCAGGAGGCCCTGCTTTTCTAACTCTGGACGAAGGCCAAATGCTGGGTTTGCTGATGGTGGGTGAGGGGTCAGGCTGAGGGCTGGAGCACAAGGCTGCTCTCTAGATGTGCCAGAGCCAGGTTGCCTCAGCAGGGGAAGGAGGCTGCGCATGGTCATTGTCGTCTGAAGCTGAGATGGATGGGCCTCCTGTTTGGCTGCCACATACTCTGCCAGGAGCTTCCTTAGTGGGGCCAGTGGTGGGGTGGGGAGGGAGGGAGGGAGGGACTCACATGCTTGCCTGGGCCTGAGCATTACCTCCCAGGTGCATCTCCTTGGTCACCAGCCCTCTGGCCTGATCCCTCCACCTCTTTCCCTTCACCCATTGTCTTTCCTTTCCCTCTGCCCGCCTCTATCCCAGTTCTCCAGAGCTCTGTCCAGCAACTACACAGCTGGCTTACCTGCAGAAGGTAAATGCACTCAGCCAACCCCCAACCTTTTCAGTTACTTACGTTAAAAAAAAAAAAAAAAGCACACCATCACTACATAAGTAGTATGTAGAAAAATAAGAAAATATTGAATGTCTCCCCCAACTCCTTGGTTTTTTTCCGGTACCGGGAATCAAACTCACGACCTTGCAATTGCCAGGCAGGCGCTGTGCTGTTGAGCTAAATCCCCAGCACCGAAAATACTGAGTGTCATTCAAGATTCAGTCAGCCAAAAACCCACCCAAACATCCCCTTCCCTGATGATTCCTAGGCTTCTGCACAAATAAAAGTTCTCTAGGTCCATGTCCCAGCTGAGCACTCCTCTGCTGAGCACTCACCACGCTGGAGGCTGTGCCGGGAACTTTGTATGTGTTAATGTCACCAGATCCTCCCAACTTTGAGGTAGGTGTTATGTTCATTTTACAGGCAGGAGACAGAGGCTCAAGGAAGTCACATTTTTCTGGCCCTGCTCACAGGTTGGTTAAGAGATTGGTCCTTTGCAACTCTGTACACAGGCTCTAGGGCTACTTTCCTTGAATGTGATGTAAGATTTTCTTTCTTGGTAAGTATACCTCTACAGCATCCTGCTGCAGGATGTACCCTTGTATGGATGTGAAAAATTCTGAATAACCAATTTCTTGGGTTTTCAGATGTTTGCTTCCCCCTATAACAAACAACACAGTTATAAATATCTTCACACATACACCTTTGTAAAAATGTGCTTATTTTCCTAAGATGAACTCTGTAAAGCCGAATTATTTGGCCATTTTTTGTGGTACTGGAGGTTGAACCCGGGGTCTTCACATTGTGCTCTATCTTCAGTTTAATACCAATGTATGTTTGTACTGCTGTCCGTGTTGAGGAGTTGGCACCCACATAGAACATATCTTGATCCCTTTCAATCCTTTCCCCCTCCTTTCATGCCTCCCCCATCCCTGGTTCCCTCCCTCAACTCCAAAAAGTCTGCCTTCTTATTTCCTACCATCTCTCCTTTATTCACTCGTTTATTTATTTACTCATATTTAAATCTCTCATATGAGAGAAACCTTGCAATATTTAATTTTCAGTGCCTAATTTCACTTCACACTATGTTCTCAAGTCCCATTCACTTTCCTACAAATGACGTGATTTTGTTCTTTATGGCTAAAGAATGTTCCACTGTGTATATATACTACACTTCTTTATCCATTCATCTGTTGCCTGATGTGTTAGTTACTCTTCTCTTGTTGCTGAGACAAAATACCCGACACCCAAAATTAAGGAAGGAAAGGTTTATTTAGCTCAGTTTGTGGAGGTTTTGGTCCATAATCAGCTGGCTCCAAGGCAGGGTGGCACAGGAGAGGATCAACCATTCATGGTGGTAGAAGACAGCAAAAACAAGAGCTAAAGGGAGGAGCAAGCCTCTTTTCTTCTCTTATATTGAATGCCCCAGGGAGGGTGTAGCACTCACACTCCTAAACCTAGCACTAGACAATGAACCAATCACAAACTCTAGATTCAGCCGCCTCTGAAAAGCCTGCCTTCATGATCCCATAAGGCTTTGTGGGGGACATCTAGACACAAACCATACATTCTGTCCCTGGCCCTTCAAAGACTCATGTACATCCCTTTATGCAAAAGGCATTTAGTCCATCTCTACGAGTTGCCCCAGTCCTATTAGTTTCAGCACTGCTGAAAAGCTCCAGTCCCAAGTCTCCTCTGAGATTTAAGGCAAACTCTTAGCTGTGAGCCCCTGTACACATGAAATGAAAGTTAAACACTTCCAACATTCAATGGCACAAGATAGACATTTCCAATCCAAAAGTTACAAACAGGGATATAAAGGATTGGGACCAAAGCCAGTTCAAAGTCCATCAGGGTGAACTTTAAGTCCTGTAGTTCCATGTGCAGCATCAGAGGCAATCTGTGACAAGTTGCAAGCTCCAAAAGGCTTGGGTGGCTCTGCCCCTACAGCACTTCTGATGGCAGTAGCTCCCAGGGCTTCTCTCTTGGGCCCCCTCTGCTTCTCCCTTGCAGTTTTCCTCAGACAATCCACTTTCCTGGCTTCTCCAAACTTCTGGGGTCTCCACTGAAAATCTGACATCACACTCATAGCTTTACACACTGCCCTCTCAGGGGCACACTGTTTGGCCTTCTGAGATTTGGGTGGAAGCCATCCTGACCCCAACACTCTGCCATTCTGCATGTGCCTAAAACCAGTGGCAGGAGTCCAGCTGAAGATCTAGAGCCCATAGCAATGTCCCGTGCAAGTCTGTATCAAGAAGATGTGCTGGGAAGGCCCAAAGGTCAGTGAAGGAAGCTAGAAAGTCTGTACCAGTGGGATGAAGGATCTGGGCGAGCAGGCTGAGGGATCTGCACTAGAGCCAGGAAGTGACATTCAAGGTAAGGACCAGAGCTCCCCGGAAAAGAACGGCAGGCATCTGCAGGGCCAGTGAGGACCCAAGTTCCTCCAATGATGAGAACAGCTGATTTCATACCAGGAAAACCAGCACGACAAGCTTCTCCAGGAGAATCAACAGCACACCATCTTCCCCTCCAGTTCTTTCTTATGCTGTTGGCAACAGTCCTCAGGTGGGCCTTCCATACCCAGCACCACGCTGATTCAGTTCAGCTGGGGGTTACAAGTTGACCATTATTAGTTAACGCACCACAGTCCACCCCTGGTCAACTTGATAACCAGACACATTTCCTTAAACCATAGTCTTCAGTGGCGGATTTGTGAAAAGTTAACATGTTCTGGTCTATTCAGATTTACATGAATATGACAATTACATATATATATACAATTTTTATTGTACTCATTTCCACACCAAAAGCAAAATATTCAAAAGGTGCTCAAAATTCAATGTTAAAACCATAGGGCCGGGGGATATAGCTCAGTGGCACAAGTGCCTGGTTGACTAATTAACCTGATTACAAACATATATCTAAAAACTGCACTAAAATCATATTAAAAGAAGTATTACAGGGGCTGGGGATTTAGCTCAGCGGCACAGCGCCTGCCTGGTAAGAGCAAGGTTGTGAGTTTGATTCCTGGTACCAGAAAAAAACCAAAAAAAAAACAAACGTATTACAATGACAATCCTTGCTTCCCATTAACTTTTAACAACAGGGCGCGGCAACAGTAAGAAACAGGGACCTCCTGCACTTCACATGCACTCTTCCCTCCTGGTGAAAGGCCTTAGGTCATTTTTCACTGTCCTGTTCCTTCTCAACAACCATGCTCCCCTCTGTGTCATCCTTGCAACCCACAGCTCCTGGAGCCTTCCCTCTGGCCAAATGCTTCAAATCACCCTGGTGGTTCTTTGCTCTTAATTTCCAACATAGATCTGGCCAAAAGCTCTCAGCAGTAGCCATGCCACCATCCCAACAGTAGACTGCACTAAAACTTTTCTGCCACCCAGGCAACATCTCTAAATGCAAACAAAATGCAGACCAACTTCCCTGCCAAAGCACAACATACACCCCCTGGGATCCAGCAGGCAATGCAGTCCTCAGCAGGAGCCTCCTGAGCTTCATCTTAACTGGCAGTGTTTCCATTGGTGCTCTCATTTTCCAGGCTCTGACCAGAGCCTCCCATAGGGTTTACAGCATAAGGGGCTCCTCTTCACTCAGTCTCTCAAAACCTTTCCAAGTTAATTCCCAAGGCTCTTCAGCCACGTGGCCAGGCAACGTCAGAGCAATGAACCCACTCTCCTGGTACCAATTTCTGTGTCGGTTACTTTTGTTGCTCAGACAAAATGCCTGATGCCCAAAATGAAGGGAGGGAAGGTTTATTTAACTCACCGTTTGTGGAGGTTTCCGTCTATAATCAGTTGGCTCCAAGGCAGGGTTGCACATGGCAGAGGGCCAACAGTTCATGGCAGTGGAAGTCAGCAAAAGCAGCAATAGCAAAAGAGGAGAAACAAGCCTCTCTTCCTCCCTTGACTGTACAGGCTACCTGCCCTCACTCACTCCCACAATCTCAGCACTAGACAATGAACCAATCACATAATGAATAGCTCCCCCCCCACGACCTCACGAGGCTTTGGGGGGGGACATCCAGACACAAACCATAATACCTGGGATCTAGGCTGTTTCCAGAGCTGAGCTATTATGAACTGGGCTGCTATAAAAATTAGTATATATGTATCTCTATAGTACAATGTCATTAATTCTTTCGGGAAGATACCCAGGAGAGGTAAGGCTAGGGCAGCATGGAATTTCTATTTTTAGTTTTCTGGGAGTCTCCATAGTGGGTTCCTTATGCTTGCACAGTGGCTGCACTGCTTTACATTCCCACCGACAGTGTAGAAGGTTTCCTTTTTCCCCATATCCTCACCAAGACTTATTGCATTTTGAGTTCTTGATGACAGCCATTCTGACCGGGTTAAGGAGGAATCTCACAGTCGTTTTGATTTGTGTTTCCCTAATGGCTAAAGATGATGATGGACATTTTTCCATGTACCTACTGGCCATTTATACTTCCTTTGAGACTTGTCTATTTAGTTCATTTGCTTTTTTTTTTTTCTGTCTCTTTGAGACAGGGTCTTGCTATGCAGTTCAGACTGGCCTTAAACTCACTTTGTAGCCCAGGCTGGCCCAAACTCAAAGTGATCCTCCTGCCTCAGCCTCCTGAGTGCTGAGATTACAAGCATGCATCACTATGCCTGGCCCATTTGTCCATTTTTTGATTGGGTCATTTGTTTTTCAGGGTTAAGTTTTTCGGTTCTTTATATATTCTAGATTTTAGTCTTCTACCGGAAGAATAGCTTGCATTTTTTCCCATTCTGTAGGCTTTCTTTTCACTCTGTTGACTATTTCCTTTGCTGTACAGAAGGCTTTTAATTTGATAAAATTTCATTTGTTGATTCTTGATGTTATTTACTGTGCAATTGGAATTCTATTTGATTTTATTTTAATACAGAATGAGAGATGGGGATCTAGTTTCAATCTTCAGCATGTGGATAACCAGTTTTCCCAGTACCATTTGTTTGTTTTGAGATAAGTTCTTGCTATGTAGTTGAGACCAGTCTTGAACTCCCTACGCATCCCAGGCTGGCCTGGAATTCATAGTCATCCTCCTGTCTCAGCCTCCTAAGTGCTGGGATTTCAAGCATGCTCCACCATGCCTGGCTTCAGCACCATTTGCTAAAGAGGCTGTCTTTTCTCCAGTGTGTGTTTTTGGCCCCTTTGTCAAAAATCAGTTGCGTAAGGTGTATGAGGTTGTTTCTGTGTCTTCTGTTCTATTCCATTAGTCTACGTGCCTATTTTTGGACCAGGGCCATATTTTTTGTTACTATAGCTTTGCAGTACAATTTTAAATCTGGTAATATGATGCCTCCAGCTTTGATTTTTTGCTCAGGATTGCTTTGGTTATTCTGGGTCTCTTCTGGTTTCATATGACTTTTAGAATTGTTCTTTCTAGTTCCATGAAGAATGTTGTTTATTTTTTAACAGGGATTGCATAAATCTATTGAGAGTTTTTGGTAATGTGGCCATTTTAGCAGTGTTAATTCTGCCAATCCAAAAACAACGGACAAGTTCCCACTTTCTACTGTATTTTTCAATTTCTTTCTTCACAGATTGTAATTTTCATTATAGACACCTCTCACCTCCTGGGTTAGGATGCTTCCTAGGTTTTTTTTTTTTATTTTATTTTAAAGAGAGTAGTAAAAAAAAGAATAGCAAAATACTGACATCACAGACATAAACAAAACTAAGCAAATCTGAGCAACTTAGTTGAAGATAACAATATGTAATATAACAACCACCGTTAATTCTTATTATTTTGTTTTGAAACCTACAGGTTTTTTAGTGTTTTTTTTTTTAACTATCATGAATGGAAATTATTTCCTGGTTTCCTTCTTGGTGGATTCATTACTGGTGTGTAGAACACTATTTGTATGTTGATTTTATATCCTGCCATTTTGCTGAATTTGTCGGATCTAAAAGTCTTCTACCCAAGGTTTTTTTGGGAGGGTCTTCTATGTAAATGATTATATCATCTGCAAAGAGAAACTGTTTGACTTCTTCCTTTCTTGTTCCTATCCCTTTTATTTCTTTCTCTTGCCTGCTTGCTGTCACTAAAGTTTCAAGTACACATACACTGACTAGGACTGTCCAGAGCAAACACTTTCTCTTATTCCATTTAAGGAAAAGCTTTCAGTTTTCCCCATTTAGTATGGTGTTGGTTGTGGGTTTGTCATATACGGCTTGTACCAGTTTGAGGTAAAGTCCTTCTCTTCTACACCTATTTTCTTTTTTTTATTATTATTATTATTTTATCTTTTTTTGAGACAGGGTCTCACTATGCAGTTCAGGCTGGGCTTGAGCTCACTTTGTAGCCCAGGATGGTCTCAAACTCGCAGTGATCTTCCTGCCTCAGCCTCCCAAGTGCAGGGACTACAGGTGTGTGCTACCACACCCAGCTTCTACACCTATTTTCATCAGGGTACTTTTTTTTTCAGGGCATTTTTTTAAATCATGAAAGGATGTTGGATTTTGTCAAAGACTTTCTGTATCTCTTTAGATGACCATGTGATTTTTATCCTTGCTTTTATTTCTGTAATGTATTATAATTATCAATTTTCATGTGTTGATCATACTCCATCCCTAGGATGAAACCACCTTGGCTGTTGTTCGGATCTTTTTAATGAGCTGTGAATCCTGTTTGTAAATATATTATTGAGGACTTTTGCACCTATGTTCATCGAGGGTATTGGCTGGTACTTTTCTTTTTTTGTTGAGTCCAGTTTTGGTATCAGGGTAATGCTGGCTTCAACATCATAAGACTTTGTAGCCCAGGATGGCCTCAAATTCATGGTGATCCTCCTGTCTGAGCTTCCCAAGTGCTGGGATTTGGAAGCATTGCTTCCTTCAATTACATGGGAAAGTTTGAGGAGTACTGTCATGAGTTCTTTAAAGTTTGGGTAAAATTCAGTGGTAAATCCCGAGCTTTTCATGGTTTGTAGAATTTTTATTACTGCATGTTATGGCTTGTGTCTAGATGACTTCCCAAAGCCTCATGTGGTCATGAGGTGGGGCTTTTCAGAGGTGGCTGGATCTACAGTGTGTGGTGCTGGGATTAAAGATGTGTGGTTACTAAATTAGTCCACTGATTGGTATGGTACAGTTCTGAGTGTGGATAATGGAAAGGCCCACCCTGGGTGTGAGTGCTACCTGCTCTAAGTGTATAGCTTAGATAGAGTAGAAGGGACAGAAAGAGGGCTGCTGTCCTAACTTGCCCTTGTTTTTTTGATACTTTGCCTCTTTGTTGCCTTCTGCTTGACAAGAACTATTTTTCCCCTGCCCCTCTGCCAGGCCACCCTGCCCTAGAGCCAGCTGACTATGAACTGAAACCTCTACAAACTGAGCTACAATAAACCTTTCCTCTTTTAACTTTGGGTGTCAGGTATTTTGTCTTAGCAATGAGAAAAAGTAACTAAGATAGTGCATTTATTTATTTATTTATTTATTTTGTTTTTTTTCCGGTACGGGGAATTGAACTCACCACCTTGCACTTGCCAGGAAGGCGCTGTGCCACTGAGCTAAATCCCCAGCCCCTGCATTTATTTATTTTAACTGAACCAATTTAATTCTTTGTTATGAATAGCTCTGGATATTTGAGCCTTTCTGGTTCAGTTTTTGTAAGTTGTATGTGTCTAGGAGTTTATCTATTTCTCCTAGATTCTTCAATTTATTGGATTTAAGTTTTTATAATCTGTACTGAGATGTAACAAAAACTCCGAAGAATCCTATGCTTGAAAGATTCTAGTAAATCTGAACAAAAACAAACAAAATATCCTAGATCCTCTCTGCCAAGGCTGCTATGGCTTCAGAGCACCAGGCAGAGGCCCTGGGGAAAGGGGCAGGGAGGCCTGGAGCCAGCAAGGAAGGCAAAGCAGGAAGCCCCCTGTGGGCCCACAGCCGCTTCTCCCAAGGGAAGCGCTGCCTTCTTAGGAGCTATGGCTTGTTTGTCTCCTCTGGAACTCAGTGGAAATCTGACTGCCCCTGTGGCCCAGCTGAAGGAGGGGCCTACAACAGGCGATTAGGTCACGAGGGGCCGCCATCATTCTGGGTGAGCCCAGTTCCTCTAGCTTCCTCTTCTTCATGCTCACCTCTGGTCACATTTCTTACTGCAGTACAGGACAAGATCCATGCCAGGCACAGCCCCTGCGCTTGGACTTCCTAGCCTCCAGAACTGTGGGCCTAACTAAGCTTCTTTTTGAAAAATAAATTATCCAGTCTTACATATTCTCTCTCTCTCTCTTTTTACATACTCTCTTGAAGCAACAGAAAACACATTGAGACACTGGGTCTAAAGACCTCACAGCCATCACTGACAGCTCTGACCTGTCCCCTGCCCTCAGGGTTCACACTCTGTCCAGGAGTCTGAGAAAGTCCCCTGGGCTTTCATTTTATCCATCTGCTAACCTCTGAGCACCCAGTCTTCCATGAGCACTTCCACGCCCTTTTCAGTAGGAAGTCCCAAACTAGACACAGTCTTATTCTTCTCCTACCTTGATGTTGTTTTTCTCCAACAGGTTGCAAACTCTGGCACCTGAAGAAAAAAGGAAAGTCAATGATTAAACAGAGCACTGAGGGCGGGGCTTTGAGCCCAGGAACCTGGAAGGGGGCTGAGCACCAGGTCCATCTGGGGAGGGCTCTTCCCAGGACCTCAGGGGTAAGGCCCGTGGAGGCAGACCTTGGCAGTGCGGCCTCTAACTGGGGCACTCTCCACTCGGGGCGCTTCCTTCTCACTCCGCCTGTTAATGCTTCTACGCTGGCAGAAGCCCCAGTGTTCTTTTCACTTTGTCCCAAAATCTTGCATAAACAGTTCACTCATCTTCACTCATATAGCTGGACTAATTTATTTAGCAGATACTTATGAAGTACCTACTCCATGTCAGGCACTGTCATAGAGTTCTAGAAATACAACGGTGCACCAAACTACCTGCCCTTGTACAGTTTGTGGTCTATTAGGAGACACCAACAACTAACAAAGGAAATACATTAAAAATATAGCAGTCAGACGTGGTAAGTGCCATGGAGAAAACAATACAGAAGAGGGGGACAGGGGGTGTCAGGAAGGAGTGCAGAAACCTTTTCTGGGGGGTTCAGACAGGGTCTTGCTATGTAGTTCAGGCTGGGCTTGAACTCACAGTGATCTTCCTGCCTCAATCTCCTGAATGATGGGATTACAGGCATGTGCTACCATGCCTAGTCTTTTTAAAATGAAAAGAAAATTTTTTTCGGTTTTTGAAATTCTAAATAGCGTGTCCAACGAAGGAAAGAGATCTAAAAAGGGAAATTGTGAATGAGTACCTGAAGGAAGCAAGCCCGAGGTCAGGGCATGGAGGGGTGGAGCTGTAGTCAGATTCGAGAAAGTAGAGCCAACAGGACTTTCTGATGGATTAGAGGAAAAGGTGGAGTGGAGGAGGACTCCCAGGAGCTAGGCCTGAGCAACTGGGAGGATGGGGTTGCCGCTTTCTGAACTGCATGTGTGTGTAGATGGCGCGTGTTTGGGGGGGAAGCTAAGGAGCCCAGCTGGGGATATGTTAGCTGTGAGGTGCCTTTTAGACACTCGGCTGGACGCGTGAGCCTGTGGTTCAGGGGAGCTGCAGGAACTGAGGATCTGCAAGTCCACAGGTAGGTCTTCAAGGCTGCCGCACAGGAGGCTGTCACTGGCAGGGGGGACGTCTGCACAGAGGCCCTCCAGGGGCTGGGCCCCATTCCACAGCTCAGCAAAGGAGAGTGGGAAGGACTTGCAAGTGCAGCAGGGGCACAGGGAGCGGCCCGCTGTGCAGGTCAGCCGTGTGAGGGTAGAGAAGTAACGTGTGGGTTTAGCCTCTTGCAGTCGTCTGTTCCTGGCTGTAGCAGATCCAGCAGGATGGCCGGGATGGACACCTGGGGAGAAAGGAGCTTAGGCTGTGAGGGGGCTGGGGGTGCGGACAGGGACACACAGAGATGCCTGGCGGCAGCGCAGGACAAAACACAAAGGGGGCAGGGATGCTGAGACAAGTCAGCTGCCTCTCTACTTTCTTCACAGGTGAAAGGCAGAGCGCAAAGCTGGCTCATCCACACCTGTGAGTGGCAGCGCCTACTGCTGATGCCAAACCAGATCCTCCTGGTCACCATGCTTTATCTGTGTCTGGCCCCGTAAGCCAGTTCTCTGCCCGTCCCTGAATCCCCATGACTTTAGTCTCGTTTCTCACCTCCACAGGCAACCTTAGCATAAATGCTCACAGTTGGGGCTGCCGAGCAAGTCCTCAGTTCCTTACAAACCGCGCTGTGACCTGAGCCCCTTCCAGAGTGAGCAGGACGACACAGTCCCATCCTCACAGAGCTTGCCTTCTGATGAAGGGGACAAATAGCCACCGCGCAGACAGATGAGCGCACAGGTCATTTCAGATGTGAGCAAGCACTACAAGGCAGTGAAATGGGGTGGAAGATGAAGGAGTGGGGAGGCCTCTGTCAGCCAGGCTGGATGGAAAGGTGGCCTCCGGGAGATGACACTTGGGACAGGCCTGTACCATGGCGGCCAGCTCGTTCTCAGGCTGGCCCTACTCCTCTGTTCCCAGGCTCTGCCAGAGCCTTCTGCAGTGTTTGCATTCCAGACATGAGGCTGGAGCCAGGGGCCATCTAGGTAAAGAGCCACAAGTAAACCTGTCAGCACCATATACTTGAGACTGTTTTCCTGCTTGATGACAGAGGACGTGCACCTTCACTGAGGCAGATCTGGGAATATCGAAAACAGAAAGATGAGCCACTTACGACGCTACTACTCAGAGATAACTACAACTACGGACCCTTCCAACAACAACAACAAAAAACCCCGAAAAAACAAAACAAAAACAAAAACTGCGGACCCTTCCAGACACTTCCTATGCCTACATAAATGTGTTTTAGAAAGTGAGATTATGTACATTGTGTTTTGTGACCTGAATTTTGATTAATCAGTTATAAAAGTCTTCTTGGGTCATTTTCTTCTATGTGATGATTTTAATGGTTGCAGAGTATTTCATTATGAGAAGGTTTCCACAGCATTTAAACCCCTAACATTGGCCATCTGCATTGTTTCCTGTGATTGCTACTACAAGAAAGTTCTCTAATGAACAATCTTAGACCTTTTTTTCTTCATGGAGGGTGTGGAGGTTGCAAATCTTAGCTTGCTTCCTTTTTTTTTTTTCCAGTACTAGGGATCGAAGCCAAGGCCTTGCACCTGCCATGCAAATACTCTACCACAGTGCCACACCTCCAGCCCCCTCCCCGCCCCATGTCATATTTTATTTCTGAGACAGGGTCTTTGTAAATTGCCCAGGCTGGTTTCCAAGTTAAATCCTCCTGCTTCAGCCTTCCAAGTAGCTAGGATTATAGCCAGCTAGGCTCGCATCATTTCCCGAGTTAAGGAATTATCCGTCCCCAGTGGATTGCCACTGACCTCAGGGCAGTGAGAAGCAGCCCGAGGCTGAGCACCAGGGAAGGCAGGCGCTGAGCCCAAATCACAGGGAGCCACTCGGATCTGAGGCTTATTTAGTCCTCCACCAACCCTGGTCTGCAGTTTTCTCCCTTTTAGGGCCTGAGCTGTAGGAAAACAATAGGCTCCTCCCATAAACAGATACTCAGGGGGTTCCCCACCCCAGCCAGGAAGTGAGGGTCCCTCTCTGATCCTAGCAGAGACCTCTCCCCGCGCCCTGGGAAAACCCCTTTGGGAAAAGCTCCTCCCTCCCCAGAGAAAGCTTCTCAGGGGTCACGCATTCAGGCAGCCTCCGTGACCCTAGGACTGCTGGGACTGGGGGCGTGCAGGGAGAGAGAGGGCTCTGGGAACAGCGGCCCATGCATGGATCAGGGCTGCGCCCCAGTCCTCACTGGTGCTGCCAGGGCACTGTCTGTGCTCTCCAGAAGCGGAATGTTCTGAGGGCAAATGAGCTCTGGAGGGTGTGGCAGGAAAAGCACCAGCGCTAGGTGTGAGAACCAACTCCAACCCATGTCACCTCACCCCGGGCAAGTGACCAACTACAGAAGGCAAGTGCTAGAGGAGAGGGCATTGGGCCTGTTTTATTGTTACACCTATGACACTTAGCGAATGGTAGTTGCTCAGCAAATACTGTATCAGGTCACTGTGAGGAACTTTCTAAGCTTCAGCTTGTTCACCTTTAAAACAGGGAGGATAATAGGGAGGATAACAGGCTTGTGTGAGGGCTAAATAAACATGGGTAAAATGCATGAGTGTCTAGTGCCCAACAAACACTAAAGTTTGAAACTCTGGAGGGTTATGACCAAAATGCTTCCTGCCTGGTTGATTCCTGGGCCTGTGCTTTATTCTATTCTCTTGCAAAGGCGGGGGAGGTGAGGAGGAAGCAGCCAATTCACAGATCCCTGAAGGAAAAGGCAGGTAGAAGTCCAGGCAGAAGGAGGTCTTGGGGAGTCAGCACAGCACAGCACTGTAGCCCCATGCACTCTCCTGAGCCCCGTGATCTTTCTGTGGATCTTGGTATGTGTGGCAGCTACGATTCTAGGGGCCTCAACTCTGGCCAGGTTGGGACAGACAGACAGAGTGGGCACAGAGACTTGGGGGGGTCCTTAGTCCAGAGTGGATTTTATGGCCCAAGCAGCACGCATGGTGGCTGCTGGCCACCTGCTGAGGAGCTATATCCCTGGCCACCTGCTGAGGGGCAGAGACCACAAGCTATGACTTTACTCATTTCTGTGAGCCCAGCACCCTGAGCTGCCCTGCGTGGTGAGGGCTGCCGGAGGGGGAATTCAGCCCCCAGCATCAGGGAGGTCGTAGGAGGGGCTGGCCAGGCCTCAAGCAGCGGATGTGAAGAGCACGAGGGAACAGGTAGGGGGATATGAGTGACAAGAACTGCTTTGGTCTCTGTTCCCCTTATTAAACTGCAGGTGTTTCTGGAGAGCAGTCCATGGCTGACTCATCTTTCTGTCCCTACCACAACCAGTAGATGGTCTTGCAGAGACTCAATACTCAGCAAGCATAGCTTATTGGCAGAGTAACAGGACGCCAGTATGCAGGATGACAGATGGCCTATTAGTGGGTCATCAGGAAAAGGCCAGGCCCGCTGACCCAGGTGTCTTGACCAGCAGAGGAACAACGATTCTTCCCTTGTACATTCACAAAGCATACCTCCTACCCTATTCCCAGCCCAGGGGACTAAATCTCCATTTTTAGCTGAAGAGAGACCATTTGAAGGAAATCACCCAGATCTAGGTGCTTCCCTAGTGCCAGGAAGGGACTGAGCATGTGGTAAAGCATTCTTGTCCCCAGGAATCTGGGAGCTCCTTAGGCCACAAGAAAGAAAAACGCAGGCCAATTATTTTCTTATTGAGAAGAAAGTTGCTGCTCTTGCCTGAACGGTCAGATTGGCTGATTCCTCCTCCACCCGCCATCCCCATTCCATACCAACTGCGTGGCTACAAATAATCTTGATGTTGCCTATTTAAAACAAGGCTTCAATCCTTGTCTGTCGGGGTAAACCCCGTCTCCGTGGGCAGGCCTGCTGTGTGAGATCAGCGCACAGCTTGTCTTACAGGGCCACACTCAGCGTGACTCTTATCACCCACCTGTCGTATAGCTTTAGGCTTCAACCTGAAGGGACGCCAGACCTGGCAGCAAGACACACTTGCAGACCAGCTGGCTTTGCCATGCCTATCTAGTGCAGCTAGAGACAACGGAGCTGAGAGGCCACTCCCTTCCCTCCCTTTAATTCAGAATAACACTTTACAGGGCTGGGGATACAGCTCAGCGGCATAAGCCTTGCCTGGAAAGCCTGAAGTCATGAGTTCGATTCCTGATACCAAAAAAATAAAAAAAATTACACTTTACGGTTATTCCTGCTTCCACTGTCCTAAGAGGTAGACAATAAACTAACAAGAGCTTAGGAGATCTCCGGAGGCCTTAAGCAAGAGCACAAATGCCTCGGATCTCCTAGCTTAGCCTTCTGGTCATCTTTACCCTACTTCCACCTCATTACACGTTCATAAATATGTACCGCATCGCATAAAAATAATTAAGATCAGAGGGAATCCTGGGATGCCCATGCGTGCTAAGAGCTCCTAAGATGGCTCAGCGTCCTGTCAATCGTTTCTGTCAATCACACCTAGTCACTCTGTGGGAGGCCCCTAAAGCAGAGTCGTCTGGCTTTCAAATTCTGAAAGCCTGAGTTATCCCCCGTTTTTTCTGTTGCTACTTCTGACCTGTGCGCAGTGCGTTTCTGTTACCCCAGCGCCTTTCATGGTGTGTGTTCCACCTTTGTTGCACGAACTGGCCCTGAGCCCGCCTTCCTGTGATCTTCAGTAAATGTGGCTGCTTACTACATACTACTGGGTGCCAGTTCCTACTTGGCAATTCTTCCTCATCATACACAGAGCTTGTACTATTCCTGGCCCATCCCACTGTAACACATCCACCATGACCCTAAATTGAGCCTGTAGAATCAGTTTTAACTCCTCAGATGGCAAGTCGAAGGCGCCCGGCGCTGGTTGGTTCCACCTGTCCAGCCCTCCTCCGTCCTGCCCTTCGTGTGCTTGTGCCTGAGGTGGGAAGCCCTTGCCAGCACTAGCTGGCGTTGCCTATGCCAGTGGTTCTCCAAGTGCAGTCGCCAGACCAAATTCTTAAAGTTTATAGGTCTGTTCATCTACAGCTCGTGCTTTCTGTACCCTTCTTCATCTTCACCTTACTTGATATCAAGAAGTCCAGTGAACACAGAACTAGTACACAAATGATTAGCATTAAGCAACACAAAGGCGTGAAGGAGAACCCCGAGGGTGGGTGTGGGAGGAGCACTGCCTCGATCACGAGGGCATGTCTGCTTGGGCCTGCCCAGCCTTGTTCTGTGACATGCTGATGGGAGCTGATCTGCCCCTCAGCTCAACAGTACTACACATGCCCCGTTCGGGTCGACGCTGTGCCAGATGCTGAGAACAGCTCTGTGAGGTTAGGAGAGTCTGGCTAACGGGTTGAGGGTTCAGCCCCTCAACCCCGTGCCCTTCCCTTAGCTCCTGCTCCCCCGTGCCAGGGTCTGCAAAAGAGCAGGGCTGACACTTGTCCAGCTGGCTCGCAAAGGGGAAATTCTCCCCCTCAGTCACCACACAGACCAGAGGAGCTTCACATAACAAGCGCTGGACTACAGACAATCGCTAAGCTTGGTTCACTACGCTGCATCACTTCCAAAATCCCCTGTGATGCTTTTGGATGGACTCTGGATCCAAAAACTTTCCCTATGTTTCCCCCAGTTTGAACAGAGTAATACCCTGAAATCACAAGCTGGGTTGTAAAACTGACTTCCCCAAAGAAAATAAAAGAGATCTCGGTCTCAAGGTTTTGAGTTTATGGTCTGGAATGAGCAGCCCTGTGCCTTCTCAAGGAGGTGGTGGAAGCAGGCCAGTGGCTCCTATCATCTTGCCAGGAGGACCCCGGCCCACTGGGTGGACACAAGCTACCGTCTGCCCCCTCCAACGCAGCCAGTGCGTGCTCCTGGGTGACTTTCTCTTTATCCAGCTTCATGCTGGGGACAGGAAGGGATAACACACCAGACCCTACACTAGAACTGTGTGTCACTGCTGACGGAAGGGTCCCTCTTCTGTGGGACAGGCAGTGAGCGCAGTCTGCAGTCCTCACTCCGTAGTGATATTTCCCCCTGACCGGCGCTGGGTAAAACCATGAAGTGATTTTTCACTAGCAGTTCCTTACCTGTTCATGCTCCCTGGTCTTCACCACCACTGTCCCTCCCTTACTGCTCCCTCAAAGGAAATGAGACTCACAGAGCAGGGCCACAGGGGTCCGTGAGCCTCTAAATGTATGTACAGCTCTGGATGTCTGTGGCTTTTCCTGGCAATGGTTCCATTTACTCATTAGATTCCAGAAGGGCTATGTGACCTCAAGTAAGTTAAGAACCATAGGGTCAACCCCTCTTTAAATAGAAGCACATCAGTTTGAGAAAATTAATTCACACTAGTGAGTAATAT